CAAGGACCTGTTTTGGACCAATGGTTGGCCAGCATTGTAGCAACGTGGACCTCTCTGATTGGCCGGAAAAGGACACACCTCAAATATGGAAGGTTAATTTTGTGGCCCTTTGTTAGGAGTGCAGTTGCCACATTCAATGCAAAACCACGATGAAAGCATGGGAACGCATGATAAACAAGTTTTTCTGTCACAGATGTACCACAACAACGTGCTAGAGTTCTGCATCGTGACAACAGATGAGAACGAATGCAATTGGATGATGTTCGTCCGCAAAGCTCGGTGAATGCTCATGTTTTTATATGCCATTGTTGCCTACATTACCCACAATGCAAATTAAAATTAACACGTTTTTGTTTGTATGTCCAGGACACATGAAGAGCAGAATCTGGTGGCGTACCCTGCTAACGGTAAACTCTTCTTCTGCACAACCACTGAGATCCACCCGGACCAGGAGCTGCTCTTCTATTACAGCAGAGACTACTGCAGGCTGATGGGTGAGCGGACATGACTAAATATGTCTAATCCTCTGTATAAAGTTAAGGAACCCTCATTTAGTACGAGTGTGAGTAAACAGCTGGATCCATTGTCTGACCCTACATTGGTGCAGTGGGTCCTAGGTACCTCCTGGTACACAATCATATGGTGAGAGTATGCAGGCAGTTCCTGGAGGATGAAGGAATAGATGCCATTGACTGGCCCACATTCTCAACTCTCTAACTTCCTTTTCTTTGGTTCTCAGGTGTTACACAGGTACCCGAGGGTCAGATCTGCCAGTGTGGCAAAGAGTGCGCCTCCTTCTCTGACCTTAAGTCTCATCTTGGCAGCCATAACAGTAACCACAGCCATACCCAACCTCCACACAGCCACAGCCCATCACAGCAGGACCACAATCAGCAACAGCAACCACCAACTCAGCAGCAACAGCAACAGGAGCAACAGCCCCAGCAACACTCTCACCAGGAAGACAAGCTGACAAATGAAACCTCTAGCTCCTCCTCTTCCCCGTGGCCCTGTCACAACCCTGCTGCAGGGCAGACAAACACTGACACCGGCGCCAGCAGCGGGGGCGGCAGTGATAGAAACTCTGATAACGTTACCTCCAGGGCAAAAGGTCAGGGCCACGTGCGGGAGAAGAAATTCAAATGCAGCATGTGTACTCGGGCGTTCATTACATCCACTAAACTCAAGGTGCACTTCATGGGCCATGTGGGGATGAAACCTCACAAGTGCGAGTACTGTAGCAAAGCCTTCAGCGACCCCAGCAACCTCAGGATGCACCTGAAAATTCACACAGGTAGGTACAGCGTAAATAGTGTAACTTCAGATGCTCGGCACACAGACTGATTAACACATGCACACATGTTTTCGCACTGACAGGTCAGAAGAACTACAGATGCACAGTCTGCGAGAAGTCGTTCACCCAGAAGTCCCACGTGGCGTCGCACATGCTCATCCACACCGGGGCGGAGAAGCTCAAGTGTGACCTCTGCGATCGAGCGTTCATCAGGAAGCACGACCTGAAGCAGCACATGTTCTCTCACACACAGTGCGTCACTTCATTGCTTTAAAAGTCAACAGATGGATTGTACTCTCAGAATCCAAAGTGTCTAATAGTTGTTTTTAAATCTCCTTCATTTCTCAATGACAGTGAGCGGCGGATTCAGTGCCCAAAGTGCAACAAACACTTCCTCAAGACCAACCACCTGAAGAAGCACATGAACTCTCACGAGGGCCGCCGAGACTTTGTGTGCGAGAAGTGCAACAAAGCCTTCCTCACCAAATACCACCTCACGCGCCACCTCAAGATCTGCAAAGGGCCCAAGACAGAAAGGGGGTCCCGCAAGGAGCAGGACGCTGACGATGAAGACGAGGAGGAGGAGGAGGACGAGGACGACGACGACGACAGCAGAAGAGGAAGAGAGAGACTGGTTGACTCGGCCAATAGTGAAGACTGCGGTTTAGATGTCGGTGGATATAACTCTGAAAAGTCCCTGTCACCCCCTCACTGACAACACTGTGCCTGTTGAGATGTTTTATTTATTTAAGTTCATAAAACTATCGATGTTTACCTTTCGTTTTTGCCAAATATAACTTTCTGAATATATAATAACATATTTGGCCATCAGTACAATTGAACTGCCACATTTTTGTCTAGTTTCTCACAAGAGCTGCTAAAATAATCTGAGATCTGACTGTATTTTCTTTCCTCTCATGACTCAGGCCTGTGTAGTTACTGGTTTTCGGGTTTCATATAAGCTATCATTTATTCATTATTTTTCTCTTAATCTTAATTCTTCAGCTCACTCAGTAATGTGGCTGATAAGCCTTTTTTTTTGCTACAGAGTAATATGGTAGGCATTTATGGTGCATTATCCCACACTGGGTGTTAAAGTAATGTTGCAGCTTTATACTGTGTAATGCATATTTTAATAAACGAACAACTGTGCTATAGAGCAGACTGATATTTTTTATGTGTCATCTCATTAAGTTGCAAAGAAAATTTGGCAACTTTTTTTCAAAATCCTGCAAATCTGTTAACTCAAGGACATCATCTAGGACTTTCAAATTAACACCATTCGCGCTTTACCGAGAGAGTAAAGGGTAGCACTGCTGATGTCAGCATTTTTTAGTACTGTTAACAAATTGTAGAGCATGTTTTTGTGACGTATGAAGTCGAGCATGCCAGCCAGGAACTAATGGCTTAATTACACTTGAGTGAAACTAGGAATAAAAATAATGAGAACCATCAGTGCTGCCCCTCAGCCTCCTGGTAAATGCACCAGGAAATGATAAATACATTTGAAAGTCTTCTTGAGGATTTCCCCCTTGAGTTATCAGATTTGCAAGATTTTCAGAAAAACTTTACCTTAAGGTCCAGGTCAACAAGATTTTAATACCTCTGAGATTTTTTTTAGGTGATGCACCTATGGTATAGATTTGAAAATCCCTAATTGCATTGTTCTCAAGTTACCTTGTTCATGAAGTTGGCTGTCCATGCTACCCGTCTGCCCGCCTGCCAACAATTCCTCATCAGCCTTTTATAGCGGAGGGCTAAGTCTTGTGACTAGGAAAATCGTAGTGTTTGCTTAGTGATTGCACTTTTTTTTTTTTTTAATTCTGTAACCGACCACTTTAGATTGTAAGGCAATTGTACAGGTTGCCTGGTGGGACGCAACATGTCTCCAAACTGACTGCAATCACTCGCCAGATAATTTATAAATGCAAACTGATTTCGCACACACTGCAATCACTCTGAGCCAGCTACAGCGAATGAGCCCAACTGAGTGCCTATTTCATTCTGAAGTTAAGCAACCATGTCACTATTAGTAGAGGAATTTCAACATTCATACTCCAATTGGAGAGAAAGTTGGGGTTAGTATCTTGCCCAAGTAAATTTGGCATGCAGACTGGAGCAGCCAGGGATTGAACCATCAACCTTCTAATTTGTAGATGTACTTCCTGAGCTACAGCCATCCCTACTTATTGTAAATTCCAGTAAATGCAGACAGTAATAGATTCTTTTTTTAAATTACAGCTAATAACAATATTTCCATAAAAAGAATGGATTTATTTGCCAGTTTGATTTCATTGAATGCAAGCTGATTGAAACCAGACTTACTGCTCTGAAGAGAACTCACTGTGACCTGGTTCCCATCTTTGAAGTAACCACTTCAAAATACCACCTTAAACCATTTGTCCCCTCAGTGACTTCTCACAGTCCAGGCCCTGAGATGGCAAAGCAGCCCAAAACCATGATGCTCCCTCCACCGTGCTCTACAGTGGGAATGAGGCTTTGCAGCCGATGTCCCGTATCGTGTCCCCTCGAAACAGTGTTGTATATTTTTGTTTCTCCGTTTTTTTAAATTTTGTTTTGTTTTGAACAACTCTTCCAGGATTGTTTCTTGAGCTCTTCTTGTAATCTTTACAGGACACCCTCTAAAGACAGTAGCAGCAACAGTCATTTAGCTATCAGCAGTTTTTCTTAATGTGAATTGATGATCATTCTTTTGTTCACTTTTCCACCAATGTGAATCTCTGTACTTCTCATTAAGTGATCAACTACTGGTTGTAACAGATGGCTGCCCCTCCCTGAGCCTGGTTCAGTTTAAGGTTTCATCCTGTTAAAAGTAAATTTGTCTTCCCACTGTTGCCAACTGCTAACTTGTTGGGGGTTCGTGTGATTGTTGGGATTGTCTTGCTAATAATATAAATATAAATATAAAACACCTTGAGGCAACTAGTTTTGTGACTTAGTGCTATATAAATTACATTGAAATGAACGTAATTAAAACTGAGACATGGGCTAGTCTCTCAAATTTGTAAGCCTTTATTATAATGAGATTACTTTGCTTCAAGTGTCTTTTGGAGAAGTACTAAACACTATTGCTTACTTATTGCACTTACTCAGTGCATTCAGTAAAGGAAAAACATTTTTTTTAATTTGCTCATGTGGTATCAGTTTAGTCATGTTGTGTCCATCCATTTCAGAGAGTATCTCCAAACATGGAGACATTTCATTTCATAAAGAATCAATGCAGTGATCCAGGTGTATCTATTATTCAACTGTACGTCTACATACAACTGAATATATTCACAGGGTCTCTTACAGTTAGAATATGATTTATTCACGTGCCCAGCAAGCACATTTACAGAAACTAGAAGGTGTTACGGTTCAAATGAAGCCTCGTGCATCTTTTTCTGGACTTGCAGTTGTTATTTAATATACTTTTACATTTTAATTAGACAAATAGTGCAGGAACAAATTTGTGGGAATACTTGGATGTTGACATAACCCTAAATGTATCATCAGCAGCAGAGAGCATGAAGTGGTCAAAGTTAAATGATAGTCATGAGGAATTAACAAATGCAGCACATTCAACACGTCAGTCAAGTTATTCAAAAACCTTCCAGTCAGGCTGGTTCACTGCACACAAAGCAAAGAAAAAAATAATGTATCATTTACTATCATTTATTAATTTAAATACATATTTACATGCAAATAACTGTATGATATCCAGTTAAATGTAAGTTTGGGGTGTAATACACGTGTAAGCTTATAGTCAGCAGTTCTTCAGTGCATGGAGTTGATTGAGGAGAGCGTGTTTTTCCTGTTCTAACAAGGATATTTGACAGTTCTTGTTCTTCACCTCCTGTTAAAACATGAAAAATGACAATGTTACACAAAGGGACAAATCATAAGAACGCTGATGCAAAACTTATTCACGTAACTTTATTAAAAGTTCTTAAAGATGATGTTTCCATATTTAATTAAAATGTATTTCTTCTACCTCCTTGAGGGTTGTTTCTTTACCTGAGTCAGTACTGAGTTGTGCCACCGGAGGTCACTGTCTGCCACTGCTTCAAGCAGAGAGGGGTTGCTGCTGGTCATGGCGTTAGGCTCACTCATCACAGAGCTCAGAGAACCGTTCACCCGCTGGATACGAGACCCGAGGAGGCAGGAGCGAGCCTGAGGACAGGCACACAGAACTGTTAGTGGGCTTAGAAACACCCGAATGGATGCCAAGCACAAGTCTCATCTTCATGATTGGTGAGGAATGCTCTCACTAACAGATGAAAATGAAATAGATGCTTAAAATGATGTAATTACAGGAAATGTTTGTCGTTTAGGAATGAGGCTGAAGTCTTGCACAATTTTTCAGACATTGACCACTAAACTTGGACGCTGTGCATGCTAAAATTTATGGTAAGGCCCGATGCAACTTCCACCCTTCAGCCTCGACAATAAGGCAGCCAGTTGTGATTGTGTTACAATTACAAGCCTTTTCAAAGTCAGAAGGAAGTTAAGACTGTAATCATTCATCGTTATTAAACATGACAGCCTCATGTCAGTAAAATCAAAGAGGCCCTTCTCTGTACCTCTGCTCCATCTTCATTTCTGGAGACAAACCCACTTCTGCTTTCGATGCTATCCTGCCAAGCCCTGTTCTCCTCCAGCCGCTGGAGATACCAGAGCCGAGCCTTCTCCAGAATCTCCAGACCAGACCACAGAGCGTCCTTCTCCTTCTCCAGATCCTTCAACCGTTTAATCTGAAACACAAAGAAGCAAAATGAAATGGAAAACTTTGGATTTGTGCTGAGTTATATGATAGAACCAGTTTTGGTATGTCCCTGTGTATTAGGCTAACATGTTTGACCTTCAGGTTCATGTATAGAAGCATATAAACCAGAGGCCCCGAGGCACTGTGTACCAGGCAACACTGAGCAGCAGGTGGCCTTTAGCTCTTTTGTCTATGCCCAGCGGGGTTACAGGCTCTTTAAATAGGCTGAAACAAAGACACACAGTGAGAAACATGACATGTGGCGGTGGGGCTTCATGACTTCAGACCATTAGAGTCACTGTAATCTCAACAACAGTGACGCCGAAAACTCTATTCTCTATTTTAGAGTTAATAGTCTAAATTTATTCTGGCTCGGCTGCTGATCGTTAATATATTTACTGCTAACAGAAAACTGGTTACACTGATCCTTCAACAGGAAGCTGTGAAGATCGAGCTTGACATGTGGGAATGTGTCACTGGGATGACTGTAGAGTCACGCTACCCCGAATAAAGCAAAGATAGAAATGACTGAACGCAACCTGACTCAACACACGCACTTTATACATACAACGATGCGCATCACCTTTACGTGACAATTCAACTTGTCTGAAAAACACACAGTGAGTGAGTGTGCTGTTCAAATGGAAAACAAATTTAAAAAGCTAGAAGTATTAATGAGACATGCTCTTAATCTGAATATTGCTAACATGACCTCTTAATCCATGGCTCTCAACCTTATGTTATCAGTTTGCCACATATGATTCAGTTATGATAGTTAACCAAAAATGTACATTGTGAAAACATTCAACTCTGAGAGCCTTGAGAAAAAGAGATCAGGTTCAACATTATCTACAAGTTTGTCACATTGAGTCGGCTTACTGTTATCACAAACAAACACTACATTTAAAAAAAAGAGAAAAGAATGGAGAAAGCATATACACCACTGGGCTGGTTAGCTGTTAGTGAGAAAACATGCACATTTGCTCTATAGTTTTCTCTGCTTTCTTGTCTCAAACGTGTTAATGTTTAAAAGAAACAATTAGACTTGCGACTATTTCTATAGGATTGTGCCGTGACCTTAACCCCTAAAATCCACATTTTTCCAGTTAGAAAATGTAAAATTCATGAGAAGTAAAAAACGCGGTGAGCGTGATATTTTATGCTAAACATACTGACATTAGCAGAATATAGTTTCCCTACCACAAGAGAACAACTGCAAAATATCATGGCAATTTCACAGGCAGTATCAAAGATGAAAGTAGTCACCGTGACCTCAGCTGCCATATATGGAAGAAAGGGTGGAGCCCTAATTTATCAAGCTAACTCTAGCTAGCTTGGTCAGAAAGCTGCATTCACAAACTGTTTGGGTGCAGGAATACGTTAATTGAGCCAATTAATGCTGAGGCTAACAAGCCAATTATACAGGCAGATGAGTTATTAAAAAGAGAAAACTACCCACACAGGCGCAAACCCTATTTTGTACCAGGCAGTAAATATGCTTTTTAATCTCTAAACTTCAACCTTTTAACGTATGAGTCTGTGGAGATTAACTTCATTTTGGTGCCAGCCTCAAGTGGCAGCTACAGGAACTGCAGTTTTTGCCACTTTTTCAGCTCTGGAGTTTGCCCCTTGGTAGCACCTATTAAACTTCTCTCCCATGGATAAAAATATAATGGAAGCACTGTTTAAAATATAGTTTTTGTTCTTCACTTTCTTTTTAATTATCGACTGAATGGTGACTGATATCACTGCACAGATATCAGGCTGATCTTATTTTTGATGCCTGGTGTGATTTTCTGATGGTTGTGGTGTGTTGCAGGGTACACCATCAAGACTATAGCTGTAATAGCTAACTATATACTATTTTAATAGTCAATCAATTGTTTTGTTAATTAGGTCATTTGACATCGGTGGCAGGAGGTTGTTACTTATTATTTGGCTCATAAGCGTAAACCTTTTTTTCTTAAATGTCAATAATGCAATAATAGGATAGTTTAGAAATGCTGTCATAACATATTTTATTCAGCAGAGCAGCTTCAACATTTATCTCAGCACTGTTTGCAGCACGTGCAGCAGAGTAGCATTGCAACTGAACAGAGGGTGGTGCATCATCATTATATGAATCCAAAATGTGTCTTTTCAACTAACAAAGCTGTTCCCCAATGTTGTGTCGAGGCACACTTCTGTGCTGTGTGAGGCAAGTCTAGCTGTGTGCTGGAATTCAATAACAGTCAGAACCTATTACTGCTAGACAAAAAGATATGGATGAATTGTTAATCCACTGTTTCAGTACTTTGGAAGCAGTGTTTACCTGAGGCAAATCATACAAAAAAAAAAAAGCTTTTTGCACAGCTGCCAAAAGTTGGATGTTATTACAGCATGACACATGAAAAACCTGACTGATAGTGAGAGTAGAGAGCCCTGAGCCTGAGCCTGTCAAGTAACTTGAGTAATACTCCACCAAGCAATCTAAGGAGGCACTTAGAAACCACAAAATCCTCTTTTGCAAAACTTATCCAGCTTTAAAAATGCTGAATTTTTACCATGCCTTTTTTTTTTTTGAAAGGCATGGTATTCACCAGTTGAGTTTAACACAAAACAGAATAAATGTAATAAAACCTCAGACGGCAGCAAAAAATGTGCACATATCATGTTAGGCATATTATTAAAATTGCCTTTGTCCTACAGTGCAATCAAAGAATGAACTGAGGATATCTCGTGTGACACTGAATAAGCTTTATGCAGACATGAAGACTTAAAATTGGACGTTTTTACCTCTTTGAATTTGCCTAAAAAGTTTTAAAAGTTTTTTTTGTCTGTGAGACTACACTTGTGTTTGCTGTCTGTTCAAAGATTAATGAAAAGAATTGTTTAACAATCTCAGTTCTAATCAACAGATAAGATTTCTGACATTTCTGTCCCTGCACTTTAGTTGTTTGTGTTTCTTGGCACTCGTTCCTTGTAGCTTGTAGCTTGTACCGGTTGAACTTACTAGTGAAATATGCTGCCATTTAGCCTAGATAAACTTGTCTCTTTATAAGAGTACTGTAAAATAATGAGTAAATGAGTCAAAATCAACACAGAAATGATGGATGTTACATTCCAGAGAAGTGGGAAAAGTCAGGTTATTGCAGGTTGGCCAAATGTACCAAACTAGTGACACTTCCCCAGAGACAGAAGAGTCCATCAAAAGCATGTTTAGTATACAACAGTTTGATCATTCATACAACTCCTAAAAAAACAGGGAGACAAAACAGATGATGTATAGACACACAAATACCACCTCTATCCTCACCCATAGGTAGAAGCGAAGTGCGTCCACGCTGCACAGACTGGTCTTAAGCGGGATGATAACCACAGTGTAGGAGCCAGAGCTGGAGGGACGATAGGCCATGGAGAGCTGATCAGTCACTGACAGCTACTGCTACTCCATACAGCTGGGTTGACCACAAACAACAAACCATAGCTTGCCACTGGCTGACTCAGAATAATACCGCGGGGAGAGAATGAGTGTGCATGAGTGTGAGAGAGAGAGAGAGAGAGGGAAGGCAGGACTGGAAAAAAAAGCAGCACGATACACAGGCGCAGGCAGCATGGTGCCCCCGGGGCGAGGTGATGAAAAATTCCACATGTCACTGACTGGTTGATCGACAACCAGTGACAAAGAGAGGGAGAACCGGGTTGGAGAGGGGGTGAGACTGGCACTGCCGGATCAAATATTAGAGAAAAGACAACAAAAGGTGAAAAAGCACCCAGCAGGAAATATGAAAATGAAGCTGCGGATGGGAGATTTGAGGGGAGGATACAGGTGTGGTTACACACTTATCAGCTCCTGATGTGTTTCCATCAGTGTCATAACAGCAGGGGGGGGGG